AACAGCCTCTCCGGTTTCATCCGTACCACTCTGAAAGAGCAGCTTCTGGAGTGGTTTTAGTTACACTGATCTCCATTGCCTTCACAGATCATTTATGACCTGCCTCCTCATGTGAGTCTGGTGGCACATGAGCATGTTGGACGTGCTCAGCCATGTAAAGAGGCCTGGCTTCAAAGAGTTACGCTTACAGGCTCACCGTCTGCCTGACAGGCAAACGGGAACTTAAGATTCACCTCAGGACAGTGTAGACAGCTGCCAAAGTAAAGTGAAGCTAAGCCTGGTCAGCTGCACTGCAGATGGGGTTCCCAATCTAATTATTAGCAACAATAATTTGTTGTAATTCTTAGTAGATATTTATTCACTATAATATTCATTTATTTGTAGCAAGATAAGCACTTAGGAGCTTCTTGTCATCAGTGCGGGGTATAAACAGGGCCAACTTGAGGCTTAAGCAAAGTGGGCAACCACCGAGGCTGGCAAAGAAAGGAGAGAGGCAAAAATGCAGCTTTAAGTGAGATAGACGCTCTGGATCTCACCGCAGTGGCCACAGCTTCATCCCTGGCCCGTGCTTGTTCAGTGGCAACAGCATAGCTACTCCCACAGGTCCTGTCCTTCTTGAGGAACAATGAGCAGTCACGGCTGTGCCACCTTGGTGCCTGGCTTACCTCTGTCTCTATCCCTCACGGATGAAGAGAGGCTAGGTAGAAAGTGTGCTTCCCAGAAGCGGAGAAATGAAGGTCGGATAAGATAAAGGTGTCTGGAGGCAGACCGTGTTCTGCTTCTCTCTGGCATGTGGCACAATGCTGTCTTGATGGAAGCAGGAAAGGTGGAGGCAGCAGGTACAGAACAAGGAAAGGAGCAGAGGCGGCAGAACCACAGCAGTCAATACTGACTTACGTATTTGCTTGAGAAACCAAACAGTTTGTTCATCCATTTGTTTTATTCAGTTCAGTCTACGAAGGTCTCTTGAAAAGCTTTCAAGACTGTGAAATTTGTTGTTTAAGAAAGAAAGATGCATCTCGTGGACATAAGACTTGCTTTCCACCCAGGCCCGTGTTCCCAACTGTTTGTTTCACAAGCTCAGTTGCTTCCCACTTCCCTTTAAGAAAATACAATTACAAAATGAAGGGAAAATAGTATGTCAAAATACTCACCAGCAGGTTTTATAATGTTTTATAAAGGACAACAATCTTACTGTCCTCACTTCACAAAGGAAGGGACAGGTACTCAGACCAGAAGCTGTGGGTTGTCAGGCAGCTATCAAACGGCACGTCCATTGAAACATGCTCCTGTCCCATCGTAGCGTGCAAGTTTCATCACTTAATGTGTGCATGCATCCTGTTCCTGTGACAGCTCAGATTCAGAGATACCGGGCAGCCTAACTCCCCTCCAGGCTAACTTTAATTTCTTCAGCCCACAGTGCCTTTCTAAGACATTACCCATACATACCGGCTTTGTGTATGTATACAAGGTCCAACGACTAAATATCTTTGTATCAAACCTCCAGTAGCTGGAAATTTTTCTTTGTAATTCCACAAATATCGATGAATTGATCTGAACTCTTCTGCTCTTTATGATATATTGTAAATCACATTTTATTAGAGCCTCTCCTTTTGCATTACAAATTGCACTTCAGCCTAAATATTTAACTCCAGTTTGTTTTGCTTAATAAAGTTCTGGGCACATCTGTGCTGGGAGGAAAGTTATAAATAATATTAATAGGCGGCAGGTCAGGTGCTGCAAATAGAGTCAGCCCAATCAAAGAGAATTCACACAGGATTCAGACATTCATGGTATTAAATTTTAGACACTAAAAAAACAGAATTGGATTACGCCTTTTTACACTGGGGCCTGGTTACGGAGGTTGTCACTGAAGTCAGCGGAGACTTTTCACATGAATAAGCTTCCAGTACCGCGTATAATGATCGCAAGATACGGCCCATAACCGGCAGCTGATGCTGGAAGAAGGAATCTTTTCCATTAGGTGTTTTCGTCACTGCATTTTAAGGCTCCCTCGATTCACATGTGTGTGAGAGGCCGGCCGCAGGGTGCAAAGCTGGCCAGCCTCATCTCCCAGC